TCAATTCATGGCCTGTATCCAGGTACAATACTAGAACAGCGGGCTGTATTCAGATACAGCCCAACATTTCCGGGCTGTATCTGAATACAGCCCACTTATTCATAATTATCTATTCAATTCAATTCATCAGCCCCGCTCTTCCCTGCTGAATATCAAAACCCTCCCCGTGCTTTTAGATGGTTGGCCTAATGACCGATATTTATAAGTAATAGCATAAAAAGAAGCGAATTAGCTATTAAAACGTCCCGCCCGATGAGGGTCGTTTAGTATAATTCCCTTGGGCGCCGCTCGATGAGGGTCATTTAGGGAAGGCCCGAGGGAATTTTACTAAATGACCCGAATCGAGCGGCGCCCAAGGGAATTTTACTAAACTGCTTTAACACTTTCATTTGATCTCATCCTTGAGTCGCCTCAGCGGTCTTTGATTGTGATTAGAGTCAAAATTTTGCAGTATGCCACCTGCAGGGATTATTCTATAAAGATATTTTACAACTCCAGTAAATCAAGATATCTCAAAACAATAGAACATCTATAGGACTATATTGCAAGGGTTATTTATGGCTATTAGGGGTACACTCCTAAAATACTATCCTATTTACAGCTTACTCATCGGCGCTACTATTCAGGTTTGTTTGGACAGTTCCTTTGGCTTTGGTTATTTCCAGGTTCAATACGCGGGAAAAAGTTGGGTTGAGAAAGATAAAACAACACATATACGCCGGCCATCCTTATCACCAACGGCCGAATCTCACCAAATAACCCATGTCTGTGGTCACCATCAATAATCATCACGTGATTACATATACTGTACGGCTTCAGCGCGATTGCTGAAAGTTACTGTTAATCATGCAGTTTTTAATATCTTAAATTTTACTGCATTAAACAATTTCAGTTGTTGATTTTATACATCAGTCAAAATAACTTCCAAATTACTGTACGTAAAACCTTATATGCATTGTTCCCGATGAGAAATACTTGTATGTCGGCTTATTGAACAGAAGTATGGAATTGGAAGGAAAATTACAACTAACAACCCCAGTAATTTCCATTTACAACTCAGTAAATATTTTGACAACTCCAAGAATTGATAGCAAATCCAGCTTAGAAGTTTAAAATCCTTAGCCCTCTCCAGGCCACATGCGCGAAGAATGCTTCAAGACTAATAGATTAACCGTTGACCATGCAACCAGCGCAGGTTTTATTAATACGTGTACTCTGGTTTTCTCAATACTAGCCAGGATGACTTTTAATGGCATTTCTATTTCAGAAAGCTACCAGCACATGTAGCTGCTTCTGTGGTGGCCATGATGAACATGACGAATTAACCCCTCGTGTGAAACAATGCACTTTCGAAAACCTTAATGATGATAAGGATAAGGGTCAGATTGAGGTAAATAGAAAATTTTATGTCTACCAACATTTTTGAGTTATATTTCTTTTATATACCATCCCTAAGGAGTACAGCTAATTCAAATAAGGTTGTCTTTTAAAAGTCAAAATGCAAAAACCTCGACCTTTTAAACGCGAAAAGCACGATGGATCATGCATACAGCATGTAATTCATAGTTTCGACACTCCATGGTTTAACTCTGTTTCTATGTCCAGACATAGTCTATAAAGATACGATGGTCTGGAAACTAAACAGGAAACACTTAACCTCGTCCCCAGGGCATTTTGTCTCCATGCCTGAGGGTCGGCGAAAATGACCCTGGGTCGGCTGGTCAATTCCACAGTCCCATTGGTGTGTTCAAAAACGCACTAATTATCTTGCAGTATAATTAATTCAAACTGACAACTCTAGTGCTTTAAAATTGTTTTGTCCGCCGTGTTATACGGTAAACTTTAAAAACGTACCGAGAGTATAGTGAAGATCCACTTACGCCCTATACGGACCCCTGGTATAGGAAGAATTATAAAAAATTAAGAAAATTGTTCATCATTACTCCTCATTTATTATTCGTAAACAGCCTTTAAGCCTGTTTTCCACTTCAACCATATCGTAACGTACCGTAGCATTTTTTTTGTGTCGAAGTCATTAGTTCCACGCTACCGCTGAGGAAACAAAGAAATATGCTACGTTTCGGTACGATACGATTGAAATGGAAAACTGGCTTTAAAGCCGGTTTTCCACTTCGCCCGTATCGTAGCGAAACGTACTGGTGAGCATGCGCAGATTGAAAAAAGGTTTATAAATCCACGTACTTCCGGGTGTATTCGCGTATCAAAATAAAGAGTGGGTCGCAAGTCAACTTTTTTGCGTACTACGGAAGTGCTAACCAATCAATATTCACGAGATTTTGAAATCTAAAAACGTTTTTGATACGTTTCGGTACGGTACGCTTGAAGTGGAAAACCGGCTTAAGCCTGTTTTACACGTCAAATTTTGGTCGCGTCGAATGCAATTAAGACAATAGATAATGAGATGATAAACCTCATTAAGCTTCATTATCTATTGTTTCAATTGCATTCGACGCGACCAAAATTACAGATTACAGATTACAGATATTTCACAGCACACTCCCTATCAGGGCTTTTCAGTGACTGGTTACATTATGAATAGATAGATAGAACCGGACTGACGTGAAGCAGACCGAGGTAGACTTCGAGCTTACAAATGGCGCTTGAGCAGCCGCTATTAGTCCATACCTCATTGATGATCTGCCTCAGACCTATGTGCCTAACCCACCCTGTCAACTTTCCCAACTTTCCCTGTGGGAAGAAACACGGAGTACCCGGAGAAAACTCACGACTTTCGGCAGAGCGTTGACTGTACTCTTTTCACATGAGGACTGGGTTCGAGTCACATTGAGAAGTTCTCACTGAGACTTGAACCCACGGCCTTAGAGGTGAAAGGCAAGTGCGCTAACCATTTCGCCACCGAAGCCCCATTCGCCACCGAAGCCCCAAATTCGACGTATAAAACAAGCTTTAGGCCAGTTTTCCACTAGGCGATATTTTTATTTTTTTCGCGCGAATTGACTTTATTCTTTTGTCTAAAACTATTAATTAGTTCCAAATGGTTCCAGCCGAAAGCTCAAGGACAAAAAAGCAAATATATAGTCGCTTCGCGCGAAATAATTCGTTAGTGGAAAATTGATACAGGACTGCTTAACTGCGAATGCTTGTGAAAAAACTTGTGAAAAGTAGAAAATACACCAAAATCGGGGAAATTAGGGAAACAGTGAACATATATGTGGGCGGAAGGAGGATTATCCAAGCAAAGCGAAACATGATAAAGAAATTAGTAAAATTAAATTGAAAATGGATTATTTAGCTATATTTATAACAATGTTTTATATATTTTTTGAATCATATATTCACGGTATTCTAAGATGTCTTGTCTTTTCAGAATTTGTTTTTTACTTCATCTTGGATATATTCTTTTCTATTTTTTACTTATTTTTATAGACTTGTGATTTTCAAAAGGCTCACTCCAACTCAGCCCTTCGTGTGACGTATCAAGGAGACCTGCGACTCGTAAGTTGTACCAACGGGAAATGTTGTCGACGTTGGTTTATTACAATCAATGGTAAAGAATGCTCGTCTCCAGCGCCCATCGATGCTGCCATCCATGCAAATGGGTCAGCGGTCTGAACCTTCATCGTCCTGGTACTCTGGACGGCTTCTGTAACAGTATTCCAAAAGGAAAGGTTACAGTTGGTCTTTCTGTTGGAAACTGCAAAAATTGGTCTCATGACGAGGGTAACGCGTACACATGCTGGAATTCGGTTTGTCGTTTAATCATCGAGGAAATCCCTTCAATGCAATGATATAAAACGACCGGAACTGGATCGAGAATTAAGGAAATAGTATTTTCAATATATATAGATCAAGCCTTTTAGTTTTAGCTCATACCGTATATTATGTATATCCATCGACCATCGTATAAGCCGTAGAACTGTAATCAGTATAAAAGCAGTCGTATACGTATTAATCGAAATATTAATGTCTGATATTCGATCTGATTGCATGTAATAATACGTATTGTAGTCGTACGTATTATAATGTAAACAAATAAATTACCTCAGCATTCATTTTTGTAGCACCGAGTTTTATATAACTGAAATAACTTTTTTGCAATTTTGAGCATCTATTAACTGTTCATCTAATGTTTCCAAATATCTTCAGTACTCCATAAACACCATCGCCACTCAGGGCACAGTACCCTGTACGTGCCACGGTCTATTGCACAGTTCATTAAGCCCCAGATTCTGCGCAACGTCACTAGTCTTTATAACTCGAGGCAGGTCTTGTTGGTTCGCCAGAACCAAGAGAGGAATACGGTCACTATCAAGACGTCAAAGTTCCTTGTAATTCATTGCATGAATCGTTCATTCTCAAGGCTGTCTACGACGTAAATCAGTCCTTTGGTTCCTTGGAAATAATGTTTCCACAAAGGCCGGATTTTATCCTAAACTAGATTAGCAAATACAGTAAAATTGAATTTGACACAAAATTAAAAGGAATCAGGAGCGATACAGTTAAATATTATCCCAGAATGCAGGAATTACTATTCTAGAAACTCAGTCTAGATTTCAAAATATTCTTGGGAGAGAATATTTTCGATCTCCCCTGGCTCAGTTTAGATACATAATACTGCAATGAAAATGTTATATAAGTATTCAAAACGTTAACCGAAAGAAATAATCTTGCTAATAGACCTTTCCAAGGTTTCTACCGCCATATTGCAGGGGATGCAAAAACATTGGGGCGAGCGCGCAGCCACCAATGGCGCCCATACTATTTCCTATTGAGTGAGTGAAAATTACCTTTTGACATTTTGTCCTTTTTCTCAAAAAATGTCTATACAAGCATATCCAATTTTTATTTTTAGATATTAAATCGCTGGGTTTTTTTCTGACATGTGGCCGAGATTTCTTGCTAATCGAAGGACAGGAAGTAATAAAAAACGGCGGCTTTTGTTGCACACCTTTACCGACGTTTGAGCGATGATTCTTGTTATTTCGTTTGTTTAACCGATCTTTGGAAGAATATTTGTCCATTAAGTGTGTAAGTCCTTTGGTGTCCGCCATTATTACTGTTTATATTTGTATATTTGTACAAAAATCATCGCTCAAACGTCGATCAAGTTGTACAACAAAAGCCGCCGTTTTTTATTACTTCCTGTCCTTCGATTAGCAAGAAATCTCGGCCACATATCAGAAAAAACCCAGCGATTATCCAAAAATAAAAATTGGATATGCTTGTATAGAAATTTTTTGAGAAAAAGGACAAAATGTCAAAAGGTAATTTTCACTCACTCAATAGGAAATAGTATGGGCACCATTGGTGGCCGCGCGCTCGCCCCAATGTTTTTGCACCCCCTGCAATATGGCGGTAGAAACTTTGGAAAGGCCTATTATCTTAAAGTTCAAGAATATGGAAATCAATCTCTAAAACTTCAAGAATTTCAAGAATCTTTAACGCTAGAAAATCACTAGCCTCCTGCGCAGACGTTGTTAGTGGCCCGAGGCCTCACCTAACGTCTGCTCACATTCGCTATACATTTGACTTCCCGGCAATTAACCAATCACAATCATCTACACGATAATTGGAAGATCGGCCTTCAATGACCTTCACACGCATGGGCTATATCAACAAGTCTGTAGTATTTTTAAATTTGAAAGTTTTAACACTGCGCATTAGAAAAAGGCTTTTCAGTCTATTATAAACGAAAAGGATGTTTTCGTAAATCTCACAACTGACGCAGGAAATCCCTTATTTATCACGCCGTTACCGAAGCTATTCGATGTAATATTCGGATTTAAATATTTAAACAAATTGTAAACATTGTAAACATTTAGTAATCGTGGTTTCGGTTGATAAATTCAATACGAGATCAAGTCAAAAAACTACACGATCTAGGAGTCAGTGCTGTGTCATTATTAAGTTGAATCGAGAGCGATAAAGAAGCGAAGGCATTGGAAGAATGGAAATATTCTGACTGTATTATATGCAGAGTCATTGTTGAAGACCGAACGATGGAAACGAATGCTTCAACAAATTGTACGTATAGCAAAATGGTTTGTGCTTTGGCTGTTGATGCATGAAGCTCATGCGATTAAAGAATGGTATGTATTATAATAAATCCTAAAAATGTGTTCGCTTTTGTAATTCCCAAAGACACAGGAATCGATCGGGCTTGGCCATTTTAATAGTCATTATTCATTAATATTTTATATTGTTTATTTAAATTGAATTTGTCTTTTTATACATTGCCTCGTATTATCTATTTGCATGTAGTACTAGCATGCAAGTTTATATGAGGGCAATTATGAAGGGTTTACATCAGAGGGTTGGGGCAGGTATATTAACTAGAATGGCTCATAAACTTGCTGGTGCTACGTGCAATAGATAATACGAGGCAACGTATAAATCAAGACAATATAAAATAACGACTATTAAAATGGTCACAGCCGATCGATTGCTGTGGCTTTGAGAATTGCAAATGCAAACACATGTTTAGGATTTATTATAATACATACTGAAATGAGCTTCATGCATCAATAGCCAAAGCACAAACCGTTCTGCCATACACTTTGTCTTTGTCTTCAGCAATGACTCTGCTGTACCATATAATACAGTCAGAATATTTCCCATCTTCCAATGTCTTCGCTTCTTTATCGCTCTCGATTAAACTTAATAATGACACAGCACCGACTCCTAGATCGTGTAATTTTTTTACTTGATCACGATCGTATTGAATTTATCAATGACGAAATAAATCACGATTACTAAATGTTTACAATGTTTACAATTTGTTTAAATATTTAAATCCGAATATTACATCGAATAGCTTCGGTAACGGCGTGATAAATAAGTGATTTCCTGCGTCAGTTGTGAGATTTACGAAAACATCCTTTTCGTTTATAATAGACTGAAAAGCCTTTTTCTAATGCGCAGTGTTAAAACTTTCAAATTTAAAAATACTACAGACTTGTTGATATAGCCCACAGCGTGTGAAGGTCATTGAAGGCCGATCTTCCAATTATCGTGTAGATGATTGTGATTGGTTAATTGCCGGGAAGTCAAATGTATAGCGAATGTGAGCAGACGTTAGGTGAGGCCTCGGGCCACTAATAACGTCTGCGCAGGAGGCTAGAAAATCACTAGGGCCCCAAATATTAAAATGCACTGCGCACGCATAAAAGTCCGAATAAATTGCGTAAACTCGTCTCAGGCTTCTTCGAAGTTCTTTCATGCGCGCGGACGAAGCGAAAAACCAAGATGGCTGCCTCTGAGGTCGACGACAACGAGTTACCTGACGAAATAATTAGTTCTTTAGAAGATTTTTACCGCTCTATGAATACAGTAGAAGAAACTTTAGACCCTCTTCTTGTTATGTCAAGTGAGGAAATACACGAAAAGGTTCGCCAAACAATGTAAACTCTGTTTGAAATGTTGCGAGGAGTGTAGACTACTAGATTGTGTAGTTTTAATACTAGTTTGTACTTGTATATTATTTTTGAGAATTGAAAGTTTATAGTTTAAGCGTTCATCCTTTCTTGTAGTTAGATGTGTTGGATCGGGCAAAGCTGGATCTCATGATGGTTTATGCGATGAATTCAATGTTCTGGAGTGAGTGAATACTACAATTTTGCCTAAAATCATAAACTGATCATGTCTTTGTGCATTTTAATAGGCTTGGTTGATCACAGTTAATATTAACTGTGGGTTGTATAGTCTATTATATATAAATTTATCTATTATATATAAATCTATTATATATAAATTATTAATATACAGTGTTTAGGCAGAGCTGCCAAGTCTCACGGTTTACCCGTGAGTCTCCAGGTTTTCACGCTGACCTCCAGGTCTCACCTGGGTTTTGAAAATCTCACGGAATTCCATTAAAATGGTCCTTTATGCACGGATATGCTCTGAAAAAATACAATTTGCGAAAATACCGTCTGTTCTTTCGAAAGAAAATCCGTACGTATTTGTAAAATGACACGTACTCTTGTTAAAAAAATTAGTAGCGTGGCTGTTTGAGTAAACTTAGATTTTGTCATCTTGAAGTATAACGTAATCTAAACGTGAATTATGTGTGTGTGGGCTTATTTTTTGTTACACACGCATATATGGCATTTAATGGCAATCTGGTTCCCTGAGCATGCCCGGTCAACAATAGTATAAAGTCAACAATTTATACATAATTTGATTAAAAATTTTCAGTATTACAATATTGTCTGCGCTACTCTGTCTGGCTATATGGTCAGTATGTATTAATTAATAACATAGATATCACTATTATCACAAATATCACTGTCAGGGGGGGGGGGTGTACAAACTACGAACTAAAGGCCCCAACAGCCTCCAGGTTTTTAATCATCTGAACTTGGCAGCTCTGGTTTAGGTTTGCTGGTTTTAGGGTACAGTAGGTCCATACGGTTGTGTATATATATTGAGAATGTGCCATGAAAATCCAGACCAGACTGCATTCCATGTACTCTATGACAGAGATCTTTGGTGTGAGATCGCTCATAAACAAGTGATTAAGTGACTTTATTTTCAGGCATCAGTAAAATGTGCGAGCGATGCTCGCAGGCACCTTTTGAATTTTGCAGGCACACTTTAAAATACTGACATTTCAACAATATTTAGGCCACAATATCTAAATAAGATGTATTTGTGCAGGCACATTTTGAATTTTGCTTGTAGGCATGAAATAATGTTAACGAGGCCTGTTTATTTTGTGCCAACTGCCCAACTTCATTGCCATATATGTACATGTATAACTGTAAATGATTGATTAAGTGCTGCTAACTGAATAAGCGCTGAGCACTCTCAAATAAAAATTTTAATAAGCACTGCTTTCAAATTGGTGCTGTGCACCAATATCAATATGGATGTTAAGCTTTAATACCAGGTAATTTTTGAGATAATATCACGTCTGTCAGCCTGCAAGCATAAATATTTCTCATAAGAACTAGGAGATGGCCATCAGAAAGTTTGCTTTATATGAAGGATTTGTGAGATTCAGAGCTCTTCAACATTATATAATCAGGGCTTTGACTGGGGGGACAAAGCTGCCCAGCCCCCATGGTGCCCCCCGCCCACTCAACCATTTTTTCTTCCAAAAATCTTTTTTCTTTAAAATATAACCATTGGAAGAAAAATGCGTAAACATTGTAGATAGTATATCCCACCCTATAGTTTTAAGTTGTTGGAAGGCCAGACTAAACATATTAGTGACTGAGTCATGGTATTTACATTTATAAATATATCATACTACAGTACATCCTTGTACCCAGGGTCCCTGCGACGGAGGTTGACTACAGTATAATGTAACGCTGTATATCTAAAAATCTGTTTCAGAAAACACACAAAATGTAGTCCTAGGGGTGAAAAAATACAAACATGTTCTGGGGGAGAATACTCCCAGATGCCCGTACTATTAGATACAACAACACTCCAAACTTTTTGTCACCAACAACCATCTGTCATCTCTCCACACCCTGACAAATTCTTAAAAAGGCTCTGATGGTATTTTTCACTATTTTTTCATGTTGACATCTTTTTGGTACAAACATATATTCGACCCTTCCCTTACATTATAATTCAAGAAGGTATTGTGCTAATTTCAAATTCATAAATGTTGTATTGCAGTTTACCTTATTACTCAAGGAGTAAATCCCAAAGAACATGGCATCAAACATGAGCTGGTAAAGAAGTTTTTTGGTATATACTAATTATAGTGATATTTGGAAGCTAAAAGTAAAGCTTGCAGGGTGTTAGCCAGCAGTAAAAAAAATTCCATGTTTACCTGAAATTGGGAAATTTATTTTGGCCTGAAGCCGGGCATTTCTTTGTGGGTCTGGGGGCATGCGGTTGCCCCCTCTCGATTTTTAACATTTTTGTGTCTTTGAAATGGCATTTCCCACATTTTGTGAGTAATTTTGAGCAAATGTAGTTATAAACATGTTTTTAATGGCGTATTAATAACATTGAATTTCTATAACTATTTTTTGGCTGACCCAAATTGGGGGAATTGCGACCTCGAGGTAATTGGGAAAACCGCATTTAGCGCGGAATTTTTGACTGTAGCTAACACCCTGGCTTGGAAGGTTGAAACTGGTTAAAAAGTTTTCTGATACTTTAAACATTTTAAAATGAAACAGTTTTTATAACCAGTTTTATTAACCTTCCAAGCTTTACTTTTAGCTTCCAAATATATTTCCCACTGGTTGCAATTTTAACATTTTTCAAATAATTATAGTGAGTTATACAGTAATTATGCTAAATAATATTTATGTGTATCATGATGTTTGTATCACTTTAGGATAGAGTAAAGGACTATATGAAGAAAATTAAGGATGCTGGTGACAAAAGGAAAGGTATAAACTATTTAAGTTCACCTAAAAGATTTTTTTATTCTGATTAAAACTGTTTAGGAGTTCTAATTACATTTGACCAAGTTTGAGGGAAACAATTTGAAAACTTGCTGAGTTATTAATAAGTAAAACATTTTTGCTACATATTTGCAACTCGCAAGTGGCTGAAGGGTTTATACTTTTCCTGCCGAGAATTATTGTTTACATCAGTCCTTATATGGGACTAATTTTCAAAACAAATTACTTTTTTTGTAATCTCATTGGTCAAGAGGTCTTATGTATAATTGGTGTGGGCGTGGAAAAAATCCGCGAAATCTCTGTGATGTGTAAATTTTTTTGATAACTTCTGACTTTTAAAAGGCCAATGCTCCGGCTTGATTTTTCTGAAAATTGCACAGCTGAAAGCTAAAAATGTCAGCGTCAAAAACGTGTTCTAATGTTGGATATTTAGTGAATCTAATACGAGCAATTCATTCCAAAAAACATCTGAAATACAGGTATATTGAGTCCTCAAAGAAATCACTATATCAGAATGGCGATATAAATAGAAAAAATCCCGATTCGGTTTTTTACAATAACTATTTAGCTATATAAGAATATACAATTACTTTATGGTTTCCGTGTTTGGATGGCCTGATCCAAACACGCGGGAATGTTGCGAGAGTTAAGAAAAGCGAGCGAAACACGAGCCGAAGGCGAGTGATTTTGCCCGCTTTTCTTAACTCGAGCAACATTCCCAAGTGTTTGGATCAGTCCATCCAAACACGGAAACCATAAAGTAATTGTTTTATAAAATAACAACAACACGATAGTCTTCCGTGTTTGGATGGCCTGATCCAAACACGGCTTTTGACCAATCAGAACACGCGTTATACACATGTTATTTTATAATGACATTTTCAAAAGTATATCTTAAGACCGGTAGGTTATGAAAGGTATAATTATCGTTGGGACTGCTTACCAAAATTTGTGTGGGAAGTGATCAGCATGACCAATCAATGTAAAGATTGAAGAGCTGACCGACCATTATTAGCCAATGGCAATGTCCAAGCAACTACACACTTGAGTGGACAGTTGTTAGACCCAAGTGAAATTATTATAATCCAGACTGGTAACCAATGTACGTCACAATGTCCAACCAATGTAAGCTACTGTAACTTCTGTTTACTATAAACATGAAAAACTGTGTCTTTGTTCATTCAGCTTCTCTAAAGATTGACAAAGATGCTGCTAGAAGATTTGTTAAAGGTGCTCTTGCCAATCCAGGAGGTTTGTTTGAAAATAGTCTTAGGGCCTGTTCCTATGAGCTCGGATTAATTAGTTCTCTGTCCATATGACTGTTTCTACCCCCACCTAATAAGTAATATCCCTCCTTGGGTGGACGAACTTATGTAAACGGTGGCGTCTTCGAAATAGTTTTGTTGTAATTAAACAATCTGCACCTTGTATTGCGACTTTGGTAGTGTCTATTATTAATGTCATGTACTCACGATGTTTTTCTCCAATTTAACCATACCTTTATCTATATCCTTTATTTAACTATACCCCAATTTAACTATACCTATATTAGAGGTCAAAATTGGCACAAAATGCCCATCCCAGTCAGGTGGAATTATTAAAGCCATCACATGGAAAATTTTATCCCACTTGACTGAGATCCCACCTAGCGCAAAGTGAGACCTCGCCCAGCCTGGCTGGCTCGTTTCTCATATGAACATAAATTGATTTTATATGCGTTAACAAAAGGGCATGCAGATCTCACTTAGGTGAGCTTCCCGGTTAGCTGGGTTTATATGAACAGGCCCTTGGCATTCATTTGCTTATAGCTCACTGTTAGAGAGTATTTTGTTACAGAATATCCATTATATAATTAATAACTACAGTGAAACACGCAATTTGATTGGTCAATAGCCGGGCAGGATCAGGCTATCCTGCACGAGGAATTAAAATGCCTTCGCGGGATTTTCGCGGGATTCTCAAAATGTCATTGCTTCACTGTAGTTATTTTATAAAACAATTACCAAATGGTTTTTCAAGCAGGATAGCGTGATCCATGTACAAGTTTGGGATGTTGCTCGACATTCGGAAAGCGTAAAAATACACTCGCCTGCGGCTCGAGTATTTTTACGCTTTCCGAAAGTCTCGCGACATCCCTGGTGCATGGATCACGCAATTCTGCACGGAAAACTATTCGGTATTGCTTTACAGTAATTGTTAACCGTATGCTATTTTACATTATCCATACCTAGCTTCAGAAAGTGCAAAAAGCAAGTCAAGAAAAGAAAAACGCAAGAAAGAGGTGTCGTCTGAGAAGAGAAAAAAGAAAAAGGTTGACTAGAAGTGGAATATCAACAAAAGCATAGTAGATCTGTAGATGACACGGGAAAAATCGAACTTTCCATAAGTGGGTTTTTAAATATAAGTACTGAACTCTTACCATTATTGGTAATAATAGATTTCCCATGTGGTAAATTAGTAAAAACCATGATGTTTAAAATTTTTTCCTGTGCACAGGAATTAAACATCATGGTTTTTACCAATTTACCATCAGCTATACAGGGTGTATACAGATTTGAAATTGCTCTCAATTTCGCAAAACACCTATTTGTATCCGTTTTTTATATATATAGCTTCTTTGGGTTCTTATAATGTAGAATAATGAAAAAAATTTCTGAAACTCGAATTTTGTGAACCAGGGGGGGGGGGTATCTTTTCCAACAAACTAAAAATGGCTCGCGCACAAAATTTAAAAGTTGTAATCATATTTTGAGTTAATAGATGGAAACTTTGTCGCGTTTTTAATTACTGTACAAAATTTCAGACAATTTGGTTGAGTTTAAGCCCCTTTAACTATTCATTTTATTCTAAAAAATCAGCCTTTCGCATGCTTAATTAATGCATTTACCTAATTTGCATATTGCTAAACATATGCAAATTAGGCAAAGGCATTAATTAAGCATGCAAATAGCTGATTTTTAGGAAAAATGTAACTTTGCGTGAATAGTTCAAGGGCTTAGACTAAACCTAATTTTCTGAAATTTTGTATAGTAATTAAAAACCCAACAAAGTATCCATCTATTAACTCAAAATATGATTTTAAATTTTGTGCGCGAGCCATTTTTAGTTTGTTAGAAAAGACACTCCCCCCTGGTTCACAAAAATTGAGTTCAAGAAATTTTTTTCATTATTCTACATTATAAGTACCCAAAGAAGCTATATATATATATATATATATATATATATATATATATATATATATATATATATATATATATATATATATATATATATATATATATATATATATATATATATATATATATATATTGGGGGGAGGGACATTCAGGTCTAAGTGATTTTTTAGTGCAGGTTATTGACGTCACGGACTTTAATAACCCCACTGAGAGGGAGAGTTTTTGGATTGAGAAACTAAATAGTTATGTCCCACGTGGGCTTAATTTAAGGGAAGAGGTTTAATTAATTTATGCATAGCTAAACGTTAGACTATTTAAGTAAGAGACGGAGATGATGTAGCGTTATTCTGAAGAAGGGGCTTGTCCCCGAAACGTAAAAATATAATTTATTTACTTTGAAGATTTATGATTTTTTGATATTTATATATATATATATATATATATATATATATATATATATATATATATATATAGTATATATATATATATATATATATATATATATATATATATATATATATATATATATATATATATATATATATATATATATATATATATATATATATATAAACCGGATACAAATAGGTGTTTTGCGAAATTGAGAGCAATTTCAAATCTGTTCAGTTTTTTTTTATACACCCTGTATAATAACCAATAAAGGTAAAGAGTTTTTACATTGATAGTTTGCATGATAAAACATTCAAAAGCCCATGAATGGAAAGTTTTTCCTGTGAGATGAACTTGCATGACATCATTGACATGCTCTAAACAAAAATCTGATGCCAGAAGTTTAACCTCATTTGACATCGAACTGGATGTGGCAAATTTCACTTCAGCCCAATGAAAAATTAGTTGTTTATGGAAGGTTATATCATTGGAAAATGGGGTTCGTATTTATTTTTTAATTCATATTCGAGGTTGCATGGTAATTTTTTTTTGTCTTTTTAATGGTCGGATGACTCGGATCAGCAAAATTTTTACCAAGAAAAGCATTTCTCTTCGGTGCATTCTCGCCATAAATAATGACCTGTCCCTAATGCTCCTTGTAAATGAAAGAAAAATCTAGAAAATCTTTTATTTACCATGTCTCTTCACCTTTTGATGAAATACGTAAAGGGCTGATTTCACGAGGGCTTTTTCTCGGCTTTAAAGGCCAAGAGAAGTGTGTTGAAAAAATGAGCCTTTGTTGACTTTGTGTTTGTCTTCGTTCATCATCATTGCAATTTTCACATTCCTTAGCCCTCAATTGCGAATAATAAGGCGTAAAAAAACCCCTGTGGTTCCGGTTTCATATCGTGAAAAAATTAGGGTCGGTAGGTCGGAAATAAATTTTTTTAAAAAATATTTTCATGGTTTTGCCGGTTTTTTGCTGGGCGATTTGCAGTAGAGTCCCAACATCAATATTAACTAGAGGTGCGTATTTCCTATGGACGAATTGAGGCAATTTGGTTCAATAATTATTGTGACAACCTCACTGGCTGACTCGTACCCAGTCGTCAATTACGATTTATATAGATCAGTGTACGGAGTTTTGCGTTGCATGATGGGAACGACGAAGAAAAATTGACCTCAAATTTTACCCTTGACCATTCCCATCATGCACCATTATTTTGTTTAATCCTCATTTGAGGGACTGGGTACGAGTCAGGCTCAGTGGTGGTGACAACAGACGCCATTTTGGCACGCTGTATGAGCAGCCCGCAACCACCTGGAGAAAATAGGGTTGCACGGTCAATCGCGTTGAAAAAATAATAGGGTCGGCAGAAAAAAATAGGGTCGGTCGGGAACCGGAACCACAGGTGTTTTTTTTACGCCTAAGTCAACGAACCAGTTGCTATATAATTGGATTTTGCCAGCAACTTGTCGGCAAGTCAGTGGTAAATGTATTGCAGATTCTTAAAGATAACACAGACAGATAGTATATATGAAATAAAATAACATTGATTTGTTTATTAATTAATGTGAACGTGATAATGGGAAGTTTTGTATTTGTCTACACATATAGACGGCTCAAAAACACTTGTGGTTAGAGCTCGACAACTGGACTCTGTAGCTCAGTAGCCTTAGTTGGTTAGGCGCACCGTAATATATCGCATCCCTCATGCCAGAGGGATATAGTTGGATTTTAGCAAGCGTTCCTGGTTAGGTCCAACCTCGCAAGCTAGGGAAAGACCCTGGCACAGAATAAAGACACACAGAAGGTCGACCACTCATTCTCACGTCGGCCAATATCCGCCATTTTTGGGGTACTGTTCGTCCCTCGTGAAAGAACCTGGACAATATGGAACTACTGAACTACACTCTCGGGCTTGTAAGAGGCAAGTAACCCCAAAATTGTCGGATATTACCGAGTGTGAGAAAGGCTAATTCATATAAACCTTAGCCGTCCCAAAGACGTCCTAACTGTAATTTTAACGCTACACCCTGTGATGCAATTTTGGGATAGTAGACAAAAGCGGGTGGGGGGACCACCAAAAAGGGTACCTATCGGTGACGTCACTGGCGTGCCATGAGTGTCTTGAGAGGGTTGTAAATATTCTGGTTGTACAATAGTTACAATAGTTGAAGAAGAACAGACATTGTCGGGGAGGGGCAGTGGAGGTTCCATTACGTGCGTGCATTCTACATGTGCACGTGCATGATTGCACGTCTTGAATGAATATATTTTTTAATTTAAAAGCCACGATTTTCATTGGTCGTCGACGGGTTAATTTGTAATATCACAAAGTCACAAAGTAAACAGAGGCGGCATGATTCAGCATGCAGTCCATCACTCCATCCGTTGCCGCACAAACAGTATACGGATCCGACTAGGCGACGTTTGCATTCATTAGTTTCATTTGACTATTTTCGCCATGTTCGTTGCAAGATTTAGGGTTTATTCTGCATATCTTGGCGGTGGGGTTGTTGGGTCTGCTTTGGTTTATTCCTTGGCTAGACAAGGTCAAGGTAAGCTTTAGAAAAAGTGTTCTTTTATAGTGCAAGTCGTGTGAATTCGTGCATAACGTATTTTGACACACTCGAAGCCGACGAAGCGATTTGCCGTTTCCAGGGATTTATTTTTCTGGTACTGTACTATAAAATGTAGTACATCGTTCAGTATTTCAAGAATGGGCTTGTTTGCAATGCGGTAAATTATATGTTAGTTTGATTGGGTAGCTTTTTAACATGCATTTCGTGCAAACAAATACTCGTGCTTATTAAAATGTTACATATTAAATACCGTACAAAATCACATAAATGTGACAGGCTGATGCTATTATTCAGCATTTTGTATCACCTTTAACCCATTAAGTTGCATTATGCCCTAATGCACCTTACTTTACTACTTTATTATTTAACCTCAGTCTAACACCAGATGATTTTACTTGTCAAAGGAAGAGTGCCAGTGCTGGCGCTCAATGGGTTTATATGGCCACTTGATAAACCAAAATATTGATATTTGCAAAACCATCATTGCCAAGTACAATTGGGGTATAATAAAAGCATTTTCTACTTGACTGGAAGAGCTGTATTTAGTATTATTTGTAGATCCCCTGCTAATAAAGCCCATTAACTGAAATGGAAGATCCACATTTAATTAATCATGTGGAAGGTAGTCTCCACTTGAGCACAGAGTAGAGACATACAGAGTTATAACCTGAAGTTCAGGCCCTATCATAGAATAGGGCCTGACACAAAACCTATCTAAAGTGTGGGATTCCCGTCCACCTGGTGGACGGGAAATCTGATTGGTTGATCAGCATCATGAAGGATTTTGATTGGTTGCAAGTTCACATAAACAACAGTTTTAAAAATAGCTCGGTCAAGGCGAGAATTAATATAAAGGTCAAACGCACATAACAAATTCCATTATCGATTTCTTCGAATTTCTTTTCTTTTATGCTTTATGGCAGAAAATAAATCAAACAAACAGTATTTTGAAAGGGCTTCATCAAAATCTTTGACGAATTTTGGACACACACGACGCTGAAAGAACAGCCAAACTAGTCATGTATTCGAAAGCTTGTTGTTGACAGCCAAGATGTTCTGCCAACTGGCTTCGCCGGCAAAAGTCTTATTTTTAATATCAGGTCCTACCGACGTTGTTTTCTGAGCTACATCGCCTTCTTCGTGGTACGATTTAGAATTTAATTGTTGCTGTTGTTAGCCCGTTAGTCGTTAGAGTATATCCGCGTCCAGCAAGTTGAGACCTTGAGAAAGCTTGGCAGTCAAGCCGTGCACAGAACTGTCTAATTAAATCTTTGTTTGCTGTTCGCCTGTTCGGTTAAATAGAGAAACTGACTCTTAATTATATAAAAGTACCTTGAATTTTTAAGTTTAATTAAAAAGCAAAATGCTCTGCGGACACGTTCATGAGAATATAATTTTTTGTGTAACGAAATCTACAACACTTGTCAATCATATTGCATGTGTGTCTAAAAATAACATGTGGGCGTCTCACGGTCTAGACAGGTTTTGTGTCAGGCCCTATTTCAAATTAGGGCCTGAACTTCAGGTTAGTCGAACAATGACGGCGCGTCCCGGGAAACCGATAATATGAATGAGTTACAATGCATGCCGGGAAGGGCTTCCAACCTCCTCTGGGTGCATGTAATGAAATATGCAAATAGCTTGCGGGCTGGCTTCGTGTGTAAACAATATTACATCAACCTTTGAAGACAAACTTACACTATTTGCCTTCTATATTGTTTATTACAAATAACTGAAATATTTTAACGCCCAAGTCCAATATAGTAAAGCTAAAGCTCAATATTTTTATTGATTTCAAATTTATATCGTTAAATTACTGCACTGATGGAGTTGTACAAAGTGGGACATTGAAGAAACTATGGTTACGAAAAAATTTCCATCTTCACTTCGTCTTTGCCTATAAGTGCGGAATCTACAATATGCGGACCGGAATAAAAAGATGGTCTTCATTCAGTTCACTCCGACGTAATAATAATAATCTTGACACTAAGTCAAGAAAACTATCCTCAGAACTCAGTGAGAAGCGGTCATGTTCCTTCCCATATAAATACGAACTAAGCCTTGTTTGAGCAGTTACACAAGTTACACATCGTTTGCATATAAGTATGTTTAAAACGTACTTAAGACCCTTAACTATAACATTGAA